TGGTATGCTGTGGAGTAGAATATATCTTGAACATAACTGTTGAATATATGCTGTATCTTTCCAGGATGCACTGACTATATTACACCTTTTGTATATTGAAATGTAGATTTGGGTCAAACCATGAAACATAATCAGGGCGAATCTTAAATTCGAATAAATAAAAGCGATAAAACCATTTCCATATTTATAAGACATCTCTGTTGAAAGCAGAGTCGACTCTACGATTCCGAATCTGTGTTTATGAATCACGATCAAATAGTGATGATATCAGGTGTTCGAGAAATGTAGCCGAGAGCCGCGACGGGGTCCTACAGTCAGAACATGACCCTACATGGGGTCCTACAGTCAGAACATGACCCTACATGGGGTCCTACAGTCAGAACATGACCCTACATGGGGTCCTACAGTCAGAACATGACCCTACATGGGGTCCTACAGTCAGAACATGACCCTACATGGGGTCCTATAGTCAAGTCATAACCCTATGTAGGATCATGTTTTGAATGTAGAACCACATGTAGGGTCATGTTCTGACTGTAGGACCATATGTACGGTCATGTTCTGACTGTAGGACCCCATGTAGGGTCACGTTTTGACTGTAGAACTCCATGTAGGGTCATGTTCTGACTGTAGGCCTCATGTAGGGTCATGTTTTGACTGTAGAACCACATGTAGGGTCATGTTCTGACTGTAGGACCATATGTACGGTCATGTTCTGACTGTAGGACCCCATGTAGGGTGATGTTCTGACTGTAGGACCCCATGTAGGGTCATGCTCTGACTGAAGGGTCCCATTTAGGGTCATGTTCTGAATGTAGGACCCCATGTAGGGTCATGTTTTGACTGTAGAACCGCATGTAGGGTCATGTTCTGACTGTAGGACCATATGTACGGTCATGTTCTGACTGTAGGACCCCATGTAGGGTCACGTTTTGACTGTAGAACTCCATGTAGGGTCATGTTCTGACTGTAGGCCTCATGTAGGGTCATGTTTTGACTGTAGAACCACATGTAGGGTCATGTTCTGACTGTAGGACCATATGTACGGTCATGTTCTGACTGTAGGACCCCATGTAGGGTCATGTTCTGACTGTAGGACCCCATGTAGGGTCATGCTCTGACTGAAGGGTCCCATTTAGGGTCATGTTCTGAATGTAGGACCCCATGTAGGGTCATGTTTTGACTGTAGAACCACATGTAGGGTCATGTTCTGACTGTAGGACCCCATGTAGGGTCATGCTCTGACTGTAGGGTCCCATTTAGGGTCATGTTCTGACTGTAGGACCCCATGTAGGGTCATGTTCTGACTGTAGGACCCCATAAAGGGTCACGTTTTGACTGAAGAACTCCATGTAGGGTCATGTTCTTACTGTAGGCCTCATGTAGGGTCATGCTCTGACTGTAGGGTCCCATTTAGGGTCATGTTCTGACTGTAGGACCATATGTACGGTCATGTTCTGACTGTAGGACCCCATGTAGGGTCACGTTTTGACTGTAGAACTCCATGTAGGGTCATGTTCTGACTGTAGGCCTCATGTAGGGTCATGTTTTGACTGTAGAACCACATGTAGGGTCATGTTCTGACTGTAGGACCATATGTACGGTCATGTTCTGACTGTAGGACCCCATGTAGGGTCATGTTCTGACTGTAGGACCCCATGTAGGGTCATGCTCTGACTGTAGGGTCCCATTTAAGGTCATGTTCTGAATGTAGGACCCCATGTAGGGTCATGTTTTGACTGTAGAACCACATGTAGGGTCATGTTCTGACTGTAGGACCCCATGTAGGGTCATGCTCTGACTGTAGGGTCCCATTTAAGGTCATGTTCTGACTGTAGGACCCCATGTAGGGTCATGTTCTGACTGTAGGACCCCATAAAGGGTCACGTTTTGACTGAAGAACTCCATGTAGGGTCATGTTCTTACTGTAGGCCTCATGTAGGGTCATGCTCTGACTGTAGGGTCCCATTTAGGGTCATGTTCTGACTGTAGGACCCCATGTAGGGTCATGTTCTGACTGTAGGACCCCATGTAGGGTCATGTTCTGACTGTAGGACCCCATAAAGGGTCACGTTTTGACTGAAGAACTCCATGTAGGGTCATGTTCTTACTGTAGGCCTCATGTAGGGTCATGCTCTGACTGTAGGGTCCCATTTAGGGTCATGTTCTGACTGTAGGACCCCATGTAGGGTCATGTTCTGACTGTAGGACCCAATGTAGGGTCATGTTCTGACTGTAGGACCCAATTTAAGGTCATGTTCTGACTGTAGTACCCCATGTAGGGCCATGTTCTGACTGTAGGACCCCATGTAGGATCATGTTCTGACTGTAGGACCACAAGAAGGGCCATGTTCTGACTAAAGTACCCCATAGCGGCTTTCGGCTTTGAGAAAAGGTGATCATCGATTTCTGCCTTAAGTCATGTCAGGTGGCGACGTTTGCCAAGTTACCTAAGGCACCGGAATTCGCTGTGCAGGGCCAGGAGTGCTAGATCCTATGGTCGTGGGTTCGAAGGTATGGGAGTTACGATCACCTTAGGGCTAAGATCGCTTGGTACAACGACACAATGGTGTTTCTCCAACATTCAACTCACAGCGGCGTTTTCTGGGAGGGGATCTGGCTCCAGCTCTCAGTTGTAGACAGTTGCCAGGTTTGTTCTTTCTTGAAGACGTTGATAGTCTTAAACAACTTCAGCCGTTATATAAATGAACAAATGTGGTAAGAGCGTTAAACATAACTAATCCCTTTTAACTCTCTACTGACCTAAGGTCGTCAGGTGCCCCCTCGCTCTCTGTGAATGACAATAACACATACTGCAGAACACATAGCGAAGATATGTTTGTACCTTATACATAGTTTGTATGTGACCTATCGTCCATTCCATGGCCTACAGTCACACTCCAACCACAGGCAGCGCTCGGCAGGACGGGAAGCAATATGTCAACCGTGACCTAAAACCGTTTACAACGACGCACAGTCGTTTACACTGAAAATAAATACTGTGGCGGCTGTAAAATCTCCCAAAACAAACGCTTCAGTTTGCAACCGACAGTGACGTTGGCAACTGGATAATGTTTATATCTCAGTAAGCTAGCGTTTCTTGGTATTTTGTTTTCAAAATATTTGTACCCCGTCACCTTGAATTGTTCCGTTTCACCTAAAGGATGTACAGTGTCCAGGACTACGTGAGTTGGAGTGACAAGACTATACTCTTCGTCGTTAAAAAGCCACAAAACCCTTTCCATATTCATTAAAAAATATCCGCTAAAAGCAGAGTCGATTGTACTAATATCATGAGCACGTGTTAATGAATCACAATCAAATAGTGATGATACCAGGTGTTCACGAAAAGGTGAGCGTATCCTGCTGCACCGGTGGCACCCGTCACAAACACACGCAACGGTAAGTCAATTATTCACCTGAAAAGATACGGGAACATATGGTCAACAAAAGTCAAATAAGGGAATTGCACTGGAAATAACTTTTGTCATTGATGCGTCAAATTTGAAAGTATCCGCCTGTTTTGTTGCCGTGATTTTTTAGATGAACAATTGCCTTGCCTTTGCATGTGCTTGTGACTGGAGTCGTGTGTTTCTCTAGATTTTTAACAGCACGAAGTAATGTTGTCGAGAACGTGTGGAGTGGTAGGTTATATTACGGGTCGAAACATTGTCTAGGATTCAGTTGATGCCCTGTATTAGTGCAGAGTGAACCTGTTACCGGGTACGTATATGTGTACCCCGTCGATATATTCCTGGACAAGTTCCTAACGCGGCGTATAGACAGACACGGGAACAAATCGCTGCACGACAAACAGTTTAACAAAGAAGAATAGTGTTTAGAATGTTTATTTCATCACATTGTATAACATGTACAGCCCTTAAGCGAAAATAGGTGTATAATGGTTGAAGTTAAATGTGTAGGTAAATATTGAGTGTTAGTTTATGATAATATATTAAGCAGGTTTGATTGTTCTGACGCTAGGTAATTACGTATAGTGTATACAAGAAGATTACATGTAATTATTGCGCTCCTGTATGTGACAGACGAAACTTTCGCAATCCCCCCGTTCATGATTTTCCGCGTCGGGGTTAGCTGTCATCACCTCCTTTTTGTGAACATTTGATTTCCAGCCATGTGTCATTGTGCCCGGGCGAGTTGTATACGAACTATATACATGTACCTGTATAACGGAGTGGGGGCAATCAGTGTCACATGCACAGGCAATAACACTGGGGTTTTGAGGAGATTCGTCATGTAGAACCTTACCTTGAAGGTATTATGCAAAACACAAGTGTTTAAGTGCTTCAATTCCCATCGAATATTGGTGTCAGATACTCCGCCCATAAATGAAGATTCGAGTGAATATTGTGACACAAATGCAATAGTCTAACGCAATGCCCCTTATAGTTCGAAATTGGGAACAGTTCAGAAAAAAACAACTTGGTCATGCCATGTTTAAATAATTCCCATATTCTCATTAGTACGCTGTGTAATGTCCAATCCAACTGTACGCTGTGTTGCTATTAGAACATATAGAAATAAAATCATTAACAGAGATCATTAAAAGTGAATATTTTCTATATTTTATTTTTTTATTTTGTGAACGATTTTGTAATTTGTTCGTGAAAACACATACATGATGTTAATTATCTAAGTTCGTTGTATATGGAATGACAGTAAATTAATAGAATTAGTAAATTTATTGTACCTAATAAATCCCATAGATACAAATATGAAATTTTGGGGCTCGATAGGCACATGTTGTCGTTGTACAGAGGCCTTGAAATCTGTGCATTGTCATGTCACATAAGGCCACAAGGTAACGCTGACCGCCCCGGGCAGCAATCACGGCTCTGCATCTCCTTGGCACTGACTGGATACGTGTACGAATTCTGTCCTGCGGAATTCTGCGCCATTCCGCTTGTAACGCGTTGGCCAGTTGTGGGAGTGTCTGGAGATCTCGGCGGCCAGGGCAAAATGTTGATGTTGGCATTATGATGGTAGTCTACCGTGACACGAGCTCTGTGCGGTGGAGCGCTGTCCTGTTGAAACAGCTCCCTCTGACGGTCAATACTTGGAAGAAGGTGAGGTTGAAGAATTTGATTCATGTAGCGATTTGCTGTCAAATTTCCCCGAACCACAACCAAGTCAGATGTCGTGATGTAGGATATGGATGGATCTGTTGCACAACAGGGACGATAAGTGGTCTTCTGGGTCGGATTACAGTCTCGCTAAAATGGTCCCTGACAGTCTGGTCCGATATCCTCCTCAAACCAGGGATGCGTCCTGCAGTCTCCGTAGCTTTGGCATTGCGACATGCAGCGATCCTGTGCAGGGGTGGTAACTCTTGGTAGGCCGGTTCTCGGACGGTCTGCAGTGGAATTGAACTGTGTGTATTGGTTCCAAATGCGGCAAATGGTGCTGTGGTGGACGTTAATGTGGCGTGAAACAGAAGACTGCGATTCCCCGCTTTGGATACGTCCTACAGCGATGTCGAATATCAGGCCACCAACATTTTCCAATAACATATATCCAATTTATATACCGGATTCACCTGTTCAATGTATATGTGTCATGAGTTCTTGTTCATGTTTTTGATGATCCTGTTCTTGTGTTCAATCTCCTTCTATTTTGTTAAATATTTATGTCATGTGTTTGATGTTCCTGTTCATGTATCACATGTTCCTGTTCATGTGTTTGATGTTCTTGTTCGTGTGTTCGATGAACATGTGTCAGGAGTTTTCCCTGTATTTTGTTAAAACATTCTGTTATGTGTTTGATGTTCTTGTTCATGGGTTTGATATTCCTGTACATGTATCACATGTTCATGTTCTTGTGTTTAATCTTCCTGCTTTTTGTCAAATATTCCAGTCCATGTGTGTGATGTCCCTGTTCACGTATTTGATGATCCTGTTCATGTTTCAAATGTTCCTGTTCCTGTATCACATGTTTCTGTTCATGTGTTCGATGTTTCTGCTCATGAACCAGATGTTCCTGTTCATATATCAGAGGTTCATGTTCGTATATCAGATGTTCTTGTATATATATCAGATGTTCCTGTCCATATATCAGATGTTCTTGTTCATGTGTTTGATCTTCTTGTTCATATATCAGATGTTCCTGTTCATATGTCAGATGTCCTGGTTTATATATCAGATGTTCATGTTCACAATTCGGATGTTCCTGTGCATGAACCAGATGTTCCTGTTCATATATCAGATGTGCCTGGTCATATATCTAATGATCCTGTTCATATATCAGATGTTCCTGTTCAAGTACCAGATGTTCCTGTTCATAGGTCAAATGTTTCTGTTATGTATCATGTGTTCCTGTTCATTGGTCAGATGTTCTCGTTCATGTATCATGTGTTCCTGTTCATAGGTCAAATGTTTCTGTTTATGTATCAGGTGTTCCTGTTCATTGGTCACATGTTCCTGTTCATGTATCATGTGTTCCTGTTCATTGGCAAGATGTTTCTGTTTATATATCATGTGTTCCTGTTCATTGGTCAGATGTCCTTGTTCATGTATCATGTGTTCCTGTTCATTGGTCAGATGTTCCTGTTCATGTATCAGGTGTTCCTGTTCATTGGTCAGATGTTCTTGTTCATGTATCATGTGTTCCTGTTCATTGGTCAGATGTTCCTATTCATGTATCAGGTGTTCCTGTTCATTGGTCAGATGTTCCTGTTCATGTATCATGTGTTTCTGTTCATTGGTCAGATGTTCCTATTCATATATCATGTGTTCCTGTTCCTTGGTCAAATGTTCCTGTTCATGTATCAGGTGTTCCTGTTCATTGGTCAGATGTTCTTGTTCATGTATCATGTGTTCCTGTTCATTGGTCAGATGTTCTTGTTCATGTATCATGTGTTCCTGTTCATTGGTCAGATGTTCCTATTCATGTATCATGTGTTCCTGTTCATTGGTCAGATGTTCTCGTTCATGTATCAGGTGTTCCTGTTCATTGGTCAGATGTTCTTGTTCATGTATCATGTGTTCCTGTTCCTTGGTCAGATGTTCCTATTCATGTAACAGGTGTTCCTGTTCATTGGTCAGATGTTCTCGTTCATGTATCAGGTGTTCCTGTTCATTGGTCAGATGTTCTTGTTCATGTATCATGTGTTTCTGTTCCTTGGTCAGATGTTCCTGTTCATGTATCATGTGTTCCTGTTCATTAGTCAGAGGTTCTCGTTCATGTATCAGGTGTTCCTGTTCATTGGTCAGAGGTTCTCGTTCATGTATCAGGTGTTCCTGTTCATTGGTCAGATGTTCTTGTTCATGTATTATGTGTTCCTGTTCATTGTCAGATGTTCCTATTCATGTATCAGGTGTTCCTGTTCCTTGGTCAGATGTTCCTGGTCATGTATCAGGTGTTCCTGTTCATTGATCAGAGGTTCTCGTTCATGTATCAGGTGTTCCTGTTCATTGGTCAGAGGTTCTCGTTCATGTATCAGGTGTTCCTGTTCCTTGGCCAGATGTTCCTGTTCATGTATCATGTGTTCCTTTTCATTGTCAGATGTTCCTATTCATGTATCAGGTGTTCCTGTTCATTCGTCAGATGTTCTTGTTCAGGTAGCATGTGTTCCTGTTCGTTCGTCAGATGTTCCTATTCATGTATCAGGTGTTCCTGCTCCTTGCTTAGATGTTCCTGTACATGTGTCAGGTGTTTCTGTTCATTGATAAGTTGTTCCTGTTCATGTATCATATGTTCCTGTTCATGTGTTTGATATTCCTGTTCATGTGTTCGATATTAACTCTATGTGTAACTCCGGTTAACGTGCAGTCCTGTCGACATATATAACAATAGTGGCCACTTTTATTAAGATTCCAGGTTCCACAAAGCGATTGTAGCAGTACGACTATCGTTAATCTAGTTTATTGTATGGGAGTAACGCTAAACATAACGCTACGATCGTTGTGTCGTCGTATCTGTGACGAGTAGGTAAGAAGTTTTGTAAAGTTTTGTTATTTTCAGATATAACGGGGAGAAACCATCCGCTGCAGCTAACCCGGTTAACTACATCTCCCTGCGACATGTAAGGTATCTAAGACTTCCGGTATAGCAAAAAGAATAAGATAGCTAAGATAAAATCCAAATTGAAATTGAATGCCTGTGCGTGAGTGAATGAGTTGGAGTTTAACAGCATTTCAGTTATATCATAGCGTGAAGCATCTTCAGGATGGGGATGGTGGAAGCTCTGATATCTCCACATTCGCTTCTGACATCGGGTTTCATTTTTCAACAAAAAGTCGATTGTCTCATTACAGCAGTGTGCTGTGTATAGTTCTAATATTCAGTTGTGTTTATTGCAGGAAAGGCCTTTTGGCCAAAACACATAGATTACACATTCACATGGTGAAAAATACATACAATGACAGTTGACAACATGAGAAAAAACAGAGCTACTGATTTTTTTTATAAGATAGTTACTGGATATATGTGCTCGACAACAATTAAAGACTTTGTGTGATTTCGGAATGTCATATTCAATATTGTGCACCCCACTCAAACAAAACATGTTCCATTTTAAACAGCGTTGAGCCAGTATATATTACCTTAAATACTGTTCTGCCTCTAAAGTTTTCAAAGCGAAAATCTTATAAGAATATATGAGACCATTCTTGAAGGCATCGCTAAATCTTTGTTGAAGGATATCCAGACATTGTTTGGTAAAACAAACGTTTTCATATGCACAGGCATATCCCTGAAAAGAATAAAAAGTTAATGTTTTTATATTACGGGACCAATTTTGTCTTCGGGCCAGGGCTGTGTTCCACAAGTATTGAGCAGGGCTCAGGTCCAGATGACATTACACAGGAAAGGCTATTCGCCGGTTCCATACTATCAGATAGAACACACCAACCCCCACTCCCCCCCCCCCCCCCCCCCCCACCCCCCCACCCCTTGCTTAGACATGTATCTACTAAGGCTTCCAAGCTGTCAAGCTGTGTATCTCAAGAGTCTTCCGTGCTTAGAGAAGCACAACATATAAACAAACGTTTGCTGATACAAAAATCGTTTATGACACCCACGTATTACAAAATATATCAATATCAATCTGTAAAACATACAAAATAATTTATACATACTAAATCACTCATTTCTTTTTTTCTAAAATGTCACCATCTTGCACGACCTTCGTGACGAACGGCCTCAAGGCAAGAATAGTTAAGACACAGCACACACACAAACCAGTTATCACGCCCAGTACTGAGGATAATTTAGGTGTGACGTCGTTAGTGACGTCAATACTGGAATGCAAAATGTCCCAATGAGCAGCATCAAACTGTTTGAGGGTTAGAAAGATGCTGACCACGTGGAACACATGGTGTCCTTGACCAATCAAATCAAACAGACCTGGCCACACTTTCTCCGGAAGATGGCTTGAAAAGGTCAAGGCTGCAATAAAGGCGAGTATGACGGCAGTTCCATGCATGTATAACCCCGGGTCGCTGCAGTTGTCGGAGTAACACTTGACGGTTCTGCGGAAGACGAGCGCCATTGTGAAGAGCGTGTGAACACCATAAGGGATCACCTGCCATAACTTTCTACTGATCGGATATGGTCTACGATATTTTAGCTTCGCTATACAACAACACAGAAAGCAAAACCAAGAGAGTGTGAAGTTCACGGGAAGAAACCACGACTGCAGCTGGATTTTTGTTTCACTGTCGGCACTCGTATAAAACACTGAGAGTGACCCCCCAAAGGCGTACAGTGCTATTCCGGCGTAGTCAACTTGGAAGCACGTGTAATGGACAACGGGAGAGATAGAGTGAAGAGTATGCGCGATCACGCTGAAAGAGGTATAAACAAGACAACAGACTCCGAAACCGATGACCGGGAAGATCCTAGAATCGTCTGGTCCAAATTCTTCCAGCAGAAAGTGGATCTTGAAGAGAACGACCACAAAGCCGATGAGATGTGTCCAAACGTTGACGACCTCGTTGTTCAACTGTAGGACGCTGATGATATAGGATACCAGTTTCATTCCAGGCAGACGATATCCGGTTAGAACCCCTGGCTCGCGGTACAACATCGGAACTTCCTCCGACTTGAATGTCGGCTGCTTTCGGAGCAGATGATGGGCCCGAATCATCAGCGACGTCAGCTCCGACCTCAGCATCTTCAATACGTCTGGAAAGTGAAATAAGTTGTTACACGGCAAGAGCAGCAAATATGTCCTCGCCTAGGTTGGACACACACTAACGCCAGTTCCTATTACCATCACTTATATAGCATGGCTCGTGTAACAGTGGATTGTATAATTATGAATCACCTTTTCATATCATGCATTATACATATTACCAACGAAAATAATAAGGGAACTATTGATTTGAAGGTAGCTGTCGTTGACACGTACATTTACAAAACCGAGGCGTTGCATTTTAAGGCAATATATAACCACAATGAAATTTCACATTATCCATGAACAGCACGTGATGCACACAGAAACAAAAGTGTGCGCTCCAATTGGGGACTCACAAAACCTAATGCAACCTTGATAAGATTGCCTCATTAAATTGATTTCTCTACGCTAAAGATTGATATCTGCTCCTGTTGTCAATAAGTACAATTGCAGGAAGACGAATTGCCTGAGAGCAAGGCGTCCTGTGAAGGGTGTAACCCTAATAGTTTACCATAGGCGATAAATATGGGGGTGAGCCAGGCAACACCAGGGACGGGTTGTGTTCCACTGGCGTCACACCATGTTCACAGACGAATCAAGGTTTTGCCTCCGATTCACAGATGGCAGAAAACGCTGTTTGCGAGGTAGCGGCGATCGGTATGCCAGGGCAACAACTCGTGACCATACTATTTGAACGGTAGTGTCATGGTGTGGGGCGGTATCACACATGACAGGCGAACTAATTTTGTGATTGTGAGTGGGCATAGGACTGGCCCGCAACGTTTCCTGACATCACCCAAAACAGGATCTGTGGCATGTTCTAAGTCAGAGTGTGTACGACAGAGACCCAGCACCCGACAACGTGGCCCTGCTTGGGTTAGCACTTCAGGCGGAATGGCGGGCAATACCAACAGCACCCATAATCAACAGTTTGCCATCAAGTTGTCGTGCATGTATCGTCCAACATGGTGGACACGCCAGATAGTGATCTACACGCCGGAAATAAATCACAGTCATTACACCTTTGCTATCATTTCATCAGTTCCCTTATATTTCGCCGGCAATATTATGCTGGTATATTATGTAGAAAATATGTTGGTCTATCTAGGTATATTCCACATGATTCACAGCCGCTGTCATTGATTAGGAATAATATTGTTCACATTAAATATCATCTCAGTTACATGCTGAGAATAATGAAGAATATAAATGGGATGTTTAGTTGAAAGCCAGTTGTTATACTGCAATGTCATACACAGACCAGTCACGATTGGTTTCCTGTTATTAAGCTGCGTCCGTAATTGAATTATCAGTCTATAGAAGCCCATAGAAACACGACGCAGATATCAATATATGCTAACTGTTACACTTCCCTTGGAACAATGCTTTTGGTATTGGTGGGGTTTTATCCTTTCAATCCGTTTTATTCAAACTCTGTGGATACCGGACAACAATATAGTCCTATTATTGCGCATGACACAGTTACACACCGCACATTGTTATGGTTGTGTGCGATATATAATGAACAGACCAGACACTTAATCAGTAGAATATAGTGAGTCTGAATAACAAAGGTCCGGTGAACTATTTGCAAAATGTTATTATCTACATACTATGGCCTAACCTATAGTCCCGTATGTGGGCGTGCCTTAGTAGACATATCCATGTACAATGGCCCAATACAGTCCCGTATGACACTGTGGACGTGCCTTAGTAGACATATCCATGTACAATGGCCAAATACAGTCCCGTATTACACTGTGGACGTGCCTTAGTAGACATATTCATGTACAATGGCCCAATACAGTCCCGTATGGCACTGTGGACGTGCCTTAGTAGACATATTCATGTACAATGGCCCAATACAGTCCCGTATGACACTGTGGACGTGCCTTAGTAGACATATTCATGTACAATGGCCCAATACAGTCCCGTATGACACTGTGGACGTGCCTTAGTAGACATATCCATGTACAAAGGCCCAATACAGTCCCGTATGACACTGTGGACGTGCCTTAGTAGACAAATTCATGTACAATGGCCCAATACAGTCCCGTATGACACTGTTTGCGTGTCAGTGGCCCAACCCATCGTTTTGCGTAACATTGTTGATGTGTTAAAGTAGTGTTATTCTCATACAACATGCAGTGGCCCAACCCATCGTCTTGCGTGACATTGTTGATGAGTTAAAGTAGAGTTATTAACATACAATATGCAGTGGCCCAACCCATCGTCTTGTGTGACATTCTTGATGTGTCATAGTAGTGTTATTCTCATACAACATGCAGTGGCCCAACCCATCGTCTTACGTGACAATGATAATGTGTTATAGTAGTGTTATTCTCATACAATATGCAGTGGCCCCAAACAATCGTCTAGCGTGACAATGATGACGTGTTATAGTAGTGTTATTCTCATACAACATGCAGTGGCCCAACCCATCGTCTTGTGTGACATTCTTGATGTGTCATAGTAGTGTTATTCTCATACAACATGCAGTGGCCCAACCCATCGTCTTACGTGACAATGATAATGTGTTATAGTAGTGTTATTCTCATACAACATGCAGTGGCCCAACCAATCGTCTTACGTGACAATGATAATGTGTTATAGTAGTGTTATTCTCATACAACATGCAGTGGCCCGACCCATCGTCTTACGTGACAATGATAATGTGTTATAGTAGTGTTATTCCCGTAAAATATGCAGGGGCCCAACCAATCGTCTTACGTGACAATGATAATGTGTTATAGTAGTGTTATTCCCGTAAAATATGCAGTGGCCCAACCCATCGTCTCGTGTGACAATGATGACCTGTTATAGTAGTGTTATTTACATACAATATGCAGTGGCCCAACCCATCGTTTTGCGTAACATTGTTGATGTGTTATAGTAGTGTTATTCTCATACAACATGCAGTGGCCCAACCAATCGTCTTACGTGACAATGATGACGTGTTATAGTAGTGTTATTCTCATACAACATGCAGTGGCCCAACCTATCGTCTCGTGTGACAATGATGATGTGTTATAGTAGTGTTATTTACATACAATATGCAGTGGCCCAACCCATCGTTTTGCGTAACATTGTTGATGTGTTATAGTATTGTTATTCTCATACAACATGCAGTGGCCCAACCAATCGTCTTACGTGACAATGATAATGTGTTATAGTAGTGTTATTCTCATATAATATGCAGTGGCCAAACCCATCGTCTTGCGTGACAATGATGACGTGTTATAGTAGTGTTATTTACATACAATATGCAGTGGCCCAACCCATCGTTTTGCGTAACATTGTTGATGTGTTATAGTAGTGTTATTCTCATACAATATGCAGTGGCCCAACCCATCGTCTTGTGTGACATCGATGACGTGTTATAGTAGTGTTATTTACATACAATATACAGTGGCCCAACCCATCGTTTTGCGTAACATTGTTGATGTGTTATAGTAGTGTTATTCTCATACAATATGCAGTGGCCCAACCCATCGTCTTGTGTGACATCGATGACGTGTTATAGTAGTGTTATTTACATACAATATGCAGTGGCCCAACCCATCGTCTTGTGTGACATTGTTGATGTGTCATAGTCGTGTTATTCTCATACAACATGCAGTGGCCCAACCCATCGTCTCGTGTGACAATGATGACGTGTTATAGTAGTGTTATTTACATACAATATGCAGTGGCCCAACCCATCGTTTTGCGTAACATTGTTGATGTGTTATAGTAGTGTTATTCTCATACAACATGCAGTGGCCCAACCAATCGTCTTACGTGACAATGATAATGTGTTATAGTAGTGTTATTCTCATACAATATGCAGTGGCCCAACCCATCGTCTTGCGTGACAATGATGACGTGTTATAGTAGTGTTATTTACATACAATATGCAGTGGCCCAACCCATCGTTTTGCGTAACATTGTTGATGTGTTATAGTAGTGTTATTCTCATACAATATGCAGTGGCCCAACCCATCGTCTTGTGTGACATCGATGACGTGTTATAGTAGTGTTATTTACATACAATATGCAGTGTGACAATGATGACGTGTTATAGTAGTGTTATTTACATACAATATGCAGTGGCCCAACCCATCGTCTTGTGTGACATTGTTGATGTGTCATAGTCGTGTTATTCTCATACAATATACAGTGGCCCAACCTATCGTCTTGTGTGACATCGATGACGTGTCATAGTAGTGTTATTCTCATACAATATGCAGTGGTCCAACCCATCGTCTTGCGTGACATTGTTGATGTGTTATAGTAGTGTTATTCTCATACAATATGCAGTGGCCCAACCCATTGTCTTGTGTGACATTGTTGATGTGTTAAAGTAGTGCTATTCTCATACAATATGCAGTGGCCCAACCCATCGTCTTCTGTGACATTGTTGATGTGTCATAGTAGTGTTATTCTCATACAATATGCAGTGGCCCAAACCATCGTCTCGTGTGACATTGTTGGTGTGTTATGACGAGAGTAATTACATTGTTGTTGTATAGCTGCTGCTTAAAAGAGTGATGCTTTAGCTTTGTGCCATGAGACATCAGACCTCTCAATTGCACCCATCTGGAAAAAAAGATTCTGCCCCTGCAATTAAATCAAATCTGTATATTTTCACCTAGAATATCATTTCTATGCCAATCTTAGATAGGACATGATGCAACATCCTGTGACTAATAATTCATGTTATCGCTAATATAATTACTGTCATAAATCCCGCTGTTATATAGAATATTGCTTTTAGGAAAATAGATATGTTTTACAGACAACTTCATTATACAGACGGATATGGCGATTTTTCCCTGTATCATATTTTATTAACCGAGCTTTTTTTAATCATATTTTTGTTATCGCTATCGGAGTTGTCCCTCTTCTATGACACACACTCTCTCTGAAAACACGTATCACAGTTAATGACTATAAAACGCTCCACATTATTAAACTTATAACAGTTATGTACGTGTATGATGTCTAGACAGCTACACAACAGTTTAACAATGTAGACAGTTTAACAATGTAGACAGGCCATGCATACAAATTACCTGCACATAACACTGAGCCAACAGGTGCGTTGCAACCGCGATAAGCACAAGCTCGAATCGCATGTTACATAAACGAGCTCTACATAATAAATATTACACTTGGTGCTTATAAGCGTATTCTAGGCTACATATTACTGACCAAGCCGTCACTGGTAACAGGCTATGAGGCAAACAAGAAATATTACCTTAAACAAGGGACGCTTGAAAAGCTCATTTGACCCTGCGTTATGGATGTCAGTTGTAGTGAGAATTGAAGCATGCTAGATCACTCGTTGAGTACATGCAATTTTTTCATACATGTCGGTACAGTCAATCTTTATAAAAGGTACATGTCCGGTTATTATAAACTTACATATTCAACGCTCGGCCAAAACAAAAAGTTTGACTTTGGAAGAGGTTACCGCGACATATTTTCCATTCAGCGCCCCGCTGCCTCCGACACTCCATGAAAAGTGCTGATAGACCTCCGCCCTTGTCACCAAAACAAATCCAAACACCCCCACAATACTTGAACAGGGGCGACGTGGTTACACAAACCATCTCCATAGCCCGTCATGGCTTCTTTCTCTGCCACACCACCGCTCACTCGCCCGCACGCTCCCTCTCTCTCTCTCGCCGACCTCCACGCTCTCACAGAACACAAGTTCCTGGCAGGCACCTACCTGTTTCATGGTTACCATGGAAACACACCTTTTCTGTATAAATGCATGTTTTACCTGGAGGCCTGCGATCAAGGTATACCTAGCACTGGAGCATGCTATCTGGCCGATGTTAATGACTTTGTTATTGTATTAACCTTGAACAGCTTACATTGTGTATATGATCCGTTATACTCCAACAATGTGGTCAGCATATGTACCGTTATATTCGAACAGCGTGGTCAAAACAAATGTCCCGTTATACTCTAAAAGCTAGGTCATAACATATGCCCCGTTGTTCGAATAACATTGGTTTTAACATATGTCCCGTTATATTCAAAGAAGTCAGAAAATACGACCCCTTATATTGAACAATATGTGTTTCCATATATCCTCAAGCAACATGAATGCTATGCGTACCGTAATACTCACTATAATGAGATATAGCAACCCTCATTGAACAATAGTTATTATATGTCATATGTTCAAAGAAGTAAACGTACGTACCCGTCACTGATATATTTGCCCAAATATGAAGGTTTTAGCACTAGCACACATCATTCACTCCCAAATAAGTTTAATTAATTATCTTCCGGCTTCATCGGCGTGCTAACTAGCCCTTGGGGTTCGGCCCAGGCGCGGTATGTAGGTATAGGTACACAGTAATCACATTAATGTGACCTGGGTACCTGATGATATCAACAGACGCGCACCGATGCCTCATTGCCTAATGACGACTTCAGTTATTGGCCTTCAATACCGTACATGATATAGGCATGTCAACGCGGATGACTTGACTATTAGGTGCACGACGGGGCGTGTATAGTCGCATTACCTGTGATCCTTATGTATCCCATGACAACTTACTCGACGAGAGTGCTAACGTCCTTCTTCTGAGCAACACAGGTTTGTGGGTATGTATCTTGTTTAAATATCAATATTGTTTATATATCAATATATATACAGAGAGAGAGAGAGAGAAAATAGAGAGAGAGACACAGAGAGAGAGAGAGAATGTCTACAGTCTGTCAGTCCCCGCAGTTTACAACAGATATAGATAGATAGAGAGATAGATAAATGGATAGATAGATAGATAGATAGTATCTTGGCTATACACACACGTGTCAACTTGATGATGGGGCAACTTTCGTGCATGCACGTGTATGTGTCAAAACAAATTATACATAATGTTATAGAAAATGTCGTGGTGTTATGCCTGGGTCCCCAGTGTATACACATATCGATGACTGATCGTAACCAGAACATATATACATTCTGCAGCAGGAGCAGCTGTTGAAATGCCGATTTTACTGCAATATTATTGACTGCTAAACACGCAGTCACTCACTCATGCTTATGGTATCAGAGGCTGACTGGTATTAAATTGATATTTGTGTTAGTAAAGTTGCAGCTGCTCTGGCAGAGGTGTGGTAGAGGTATTTGTGAGGAAAATTCATATCGTATTAAAGTACGTTATTCATCGTTGATAATTCGTTTTCCTCATAGATCTATTTTTATAACCCCTGTATCATTTTGCTTTTGACTATCCAGTTTTCTATGGCAGCGCCAGCAATTTATTTTTTTAATGTTCACACATTGTACACAAACACTTACAGCCAGCCAGCCAGCCAGCCATGCAGCCAGCCAGCCAGCAAGACACTTTATTTCAATCTCACCTCGTTACAATACACATTACTAAAAAAATTATATAAATTATACATAAATAGAACACATATAATATATGATAAAGAGCCACCCTCGGCGGGAATTTCACTTGTCAAATCGAACTGTCGAAGCGTTAAATACTCAGCCATATTAACCAATCAAAACCTTTCTCTGATTAACTGCAAAGAATGTACTCACGACGCGTAAATAGCAGACGACAATATTTACTTGACAACTTGAAAACAGTGATATTCTGGTGTCTAGAATGAACACAGTGCTTCACCCGACACACAGATAACCCGAGGACAAGACTGTACTCATACAAATGCAGAGGTAAGCCACGATTTTCAACATATCATATTCATATTTTGTAGGTCAACAGTGCTTCGTCAAGCGGAACGAAACAGTGTCAATGTTTACGCGATATCGCCCCGGCATACCTTGAAGTAGATCACACTGTCAAGTCATGTGATTCACTTACCATGTACCTTCGTATACCAGGATAGTCTTTAATGCAACAAAAAGAATGCTGTCTTTGCCATCGTTCCGAAACCAAACGATTTAAATATGACTAACACGATATGTATAACTCCATACACACATACACGACTATAAGACCACCTGACGGTGTGCTGAGTTATGCCAGCAGTAGTATTGCGCAATCTGAATTTGTAAACAGTGTTTCAATTTGCCAGCTGAGGCGACCAGGATGTTTCTGTTTCTAAGCCTGGGCCTCTTGACATGCATTCAAATCACACCGGAGCCATATATAATGTACTTTATCAAATAAGTACTGGATCACCTGGATCTATATAATATAGTGTAAACATTAATGTCCCTCTCTTGTAGATCTAGATCTATATTGATAGGAGTCCCTGCACCAGAAGTTTACTAAATATCTGATGTTTCTTTTGCCTTATAAGTGATACATTGATGTTTTATGGAGATACAGATGTATAACGTCGTTCACTCCATATCGATTTAGACTACTGCAACTTAAAAATAAAGACACATTCATAATCAGAGATAGAAACCAATCGCTTTAGCCCATTAGTCCTTATAATGATAACATAATGTAAAACCCTTAAAAAGGGCAAATTTCAGCTAGTCGATCCTTAGGATACCTTAACTATTGAGCTGTTTGACAAGGAATATAGGACTAGTGCCAATTAGTCGAAATTATGTCGAAATTATGCCGATAATCGGATTTCTAAAGCCGCTTTGATACTCTTTGTTGTAACCCAGGACATGGGGGAAAGGTGGCTTCATCAGTTAAGTTTGGATAAATATCACATCCAAACACTCAACAGAGCTGTTCAAATGCTAATGCATCTATTTTCATAAATCTTGATACGCTTTGATGCTTCCATAAAATAAGTATATAATCTATATTTTCAATGTATTCAGCCCCCACTGGTGCCTCTTTGGATCAATAATCTCCATGGGTCTTCATCCATACAGTAACCAACACCTGCGACCCACCGAATGAACACTGACTTCGTGATCATACCTCACCGCGGCAGCTGTCCACTGTAATTTGATAAGCAAATATACTGTTATATACTTTACTTCTGACATAAGTATTCGATCGTCAAAGGGAATAACCCCATTCCCGCCTTGTAATTGTTTCATTTGTAATATAATCTATATCATTCCCGTTAGTGTTGAGTTTGCGGTTTAGCCACTGGCTCGTATAGCCAGAGTTTATAGTAAAATATTGTTTGGCCCTGTACGATCAGTTTAGAAAGTCTAAACTTTCAGTGTTCTGAAAATGATGCCAAGATACGATTTCGAGCTTGTTAGCTTGTTCCGTCAGATGCAATCAAATTTGATAGACTTTCAATCGTTCGAAAAAACAGCTTATAGATATATTGGTTAGTTAAAAAACAAAACCTGCACAATTTAAGATGTAATGAAAAAACATAATGACATCATATGAAATGCACACTAGACTTGACCCTCTCTACATGGGACTGCCATTTGTTCCACAAAGCAGCTTCAGCTTCATACGACCATACGTGTAATATTACTGTATGATAGATTTACTTGTTTGTTTGGTACAATACAAAAGGGGAATTATGTGATATAGTCGCAGTCTCAGGTCGCTTTGGGCCGAGGGTCTGGTCCCAGTACATGCAATCTTAACCATTATTCATAACCCTCGATGTCAGATGGACACCTATATAATATCTTATATACAGCCAGACTGAAACAGGGTTAGAAATTAGCACTAGTCCTGTAGTCCTTACCAAACTGGCCAATAGTTAAGGTATCATAAGGACTAGTAGAAATTTGCCATTTTTAAGGGTTTTGCTATATGTTATCATTATAAGGACTAGTGGGATAAACATGTTAGTTTCTACCCCTGTGAAATCGGTCATTTTTTGTCATCATGAATTGACTGAACAGTTTCTATAAGGAATAATTAAGGTTTACAGTGATGTGTTCTCGCTTCATGAAGCATAATGCCTTATGAACACACACATATCTCAGCTAGACACAATCGTGTTATTGATTGTCACTCACTAGACTGATTATTAATATTTGTTGTGGCAATTTAAACTAGGGTGACAGCGTCTATGGTACTTCAGTTTGGCCTTGAAGCACTTACACCTATTTGTTGGGCATAAATTACGATAACCTGCAAGCACATTTGACAAAGCCTTGCCCTTCCACACAAGAGTGACTGAGTGATTAGTTCACGAATAGATACGTGTGTCCTTGCCGATGTATGATTACCACACTTAGTCGGGTGTTAGCATCAGGCTGCTGTCGCAGCAGGTGTACCGATTTACCTTCTTCACGGTTTACAGTCCACCGTCACATTATACATAGTAATACATCATTCAGGTTTATAAGTGTGCTAATAGAAGCGTACATGCGTGAATGTATGCAATGTCGTATCTGAGTTAAATACTGGTTATTTAATAAGCGTGGTGGTATAGTGTATATCGTATCTTGTATATATGTATTATAGCTGGCTGTTGGGGTTTATTCATATGATATCGAATGATAGCCTCGTGGTATATGATTTGACGCCAGATGTTTCACTGCGGTTTGTAGATAATCGAGTCTGCATCAGGCAAACCAGAGTCTGGAAAGCACGAGCAACAAACCAAGGTCCCAAATGCATGCAATCAGCTAAGTCCCGTTGCTTAACCAACCGATCTGTATTATTCGACTTACGTTTGTATACAAGAATATTCTGGGACCGAATCGTACCTGCGCAGGCAGCGATGATCGTTACTCATGCTCGTTACTCATCAGCTTGTGGTATGCCTCTTCCAGGCGTGACTTACTGTGGTACATAACTGAATTATGATATTCACAAGAACACAATCATGCACCACAACAAAGTCAATTATTTGAGCCGCACATAAAATCCCATTTTGTCCACTCGAATGTCACAGACCGCATACTGGCCGGTTAACATGGCTAACACCGATAAATATACCGATACAAACGACAGACATAATTGTGATTAATTACACACATTCCTGTGTGACATATTGTTGCTGATTGGTCAGAGAAAGATAACCTGTCGTTCTAGAGGTGAAAATTGATCAGAAGATCGGTATATTTATTGCTTTATTGTGACCGAATTATATATATTTGGTGCTTTTGGGAGTTTAACACATGAATGTCAGAGCGATGGTACGATACGAAATTGCGATATCACGATACGATATTGTCACACTGCCACAAACGAAATGATGAAGTGAAAAGGCGATAGGGTCACGCGATATGGCGTTTTTGCTCAGTCACCATTTGCAAAATAAAACAAAGCGGGTACGTAGATTCACACTGAGCATCTAATAAGATATCCATTTCTTTTCATCTACAGGAACTGTTTTGACTGACTTAATTAGTGGTAAGCAAGTGTGATTAACGCACGAAAACACGGAATATACTTAATCAGCAAGCACGAATGCACCAAGAACCTTACCGAAGCACAATTGTAATTCCATAACTAATTATTCCACCCTGAATGGTCACAAAACTGTAGAAGATGTATGTGTGTTTGATGGTTGGTTTGTTTGTTAATTAACGCCGCACTCCAGCTATAGGACGGCGGTCTGTAAATAATCGAGTCCGGACCAGACAATCCCGTGATTGATATCATGAGCATCGATCCACGCAATTGGGATACGATGACATGCATCAACCAAGTCAGCGAGCCTGACCACCTGATCCCGTTAGTCGCCTCTTGCGACAAGCATAGTCGCCTCTTACGGCAAGCATGGGTTGCAGTGTTTGTTAAAGATTGGCGAGAAGACTGGTCATTTGGACTAAATGGAAATGTGATTATCATCGAATCCTGCAAATTACGCTAATAGAATTAAACTATTTTCAGTCTTCATGTACTATGTATTATATATTAAAATTGATTGTAATAAATGAAAGCGAAAATAGATAATGATAACACAGAATGAAATAAAATGCAATATATTCAAAACAAAGGTTCTATAAGCATTAGGATTAAATTCGGATGTGGGCAGTAAAATATTTATTGCACATCTAGACGTTGGATGAGTGATGACATATAATAATTGCAAATCGAACAACAGTGTACGTGTGTCCAATATGAAGATGATACACAGAAAATTGCAATGGCAAGGATATGAGAGCTCACTATCTCGTGTCTACCATCAGCCTCAAGTACTGCATGGCGTCTTCCGTCCACATGATTACACCGTCAACACCGGCGACTCTGTTAACCCCCAGGCGTCGCCACATCCTGGTTCTCCCGTAGTTAAGTTACACCTGTTTCATAAAGCAACCTTATCTCGACCTAAGTCCTTGTGGTTACCTTGGCGCTGAGGTTGTTTTGTGAAATGGGGCCGGGGTAGCTTAGGTCATACTCTGCGTGCTAAGCACCACAGATCGTCGCAGTTACCAAAATAACATTACTGACAGGCCGCATCTACCTCTGAGACCTTCCTTCACAAAGGCGGTTCCGCAATACCTGTTCAGATATCGTTCGCAATCCTGGAATTTCTGCTGTTGTGCAGGACGTTGTACACCTTTGCCGCAAATGACGTAACCGTATGAGGCGGCCCTGGGCAGCCGATGTCATGACCTGGGTTGACCTTGGTCGGTCATATGAGTTCTCCTGCTTCCAGTCATCTGACGACGTTGTTTCATTGTGCTCCAGTTTTTAGCCATGGCTTGACATCGCAGTTGCTACTAGACAACGTTTTGGCCACCGAGAACCACCCTATAGAAATATATCGCAATATCGTCATGTCCCTGTATTGCAATATCTTGTACTATAGCTTTGTCGTGGCGTTCTATCGCTTTGACGTTGGGTGTTATCGCTGTTTCGTTTGTGACAGTATCGCAATATAGTATCGATATAGCGATGGCCCTTCTCAGCCACCATAGAGTTCAGTGTTCCTCGCGAGATATGCAGTACAACCATCGGTATTAATCAAGCATTTCTACATTTATTTATTGTGAAAATTAGATATATAGTCTGCTGGGATTGGACTGCACTGTAATTAAAACGCACCTGTTACAAACCGCCATGCATAAACGTATCTAGATGGTAGTGCTGTGGTTTCTACCGGATAATCTGGAATGCAGTCAGACATTCACGGGACACTCAGGAATAGAAACTTACACTTACAGTCCACTAGTCTTCATGATATCTTAACTATCGGGCAGTTTGACAAGGACAAGGACTAGTGCTAATTTCTATCTCTGGGTGCCTCATATATATACGCTGGTATAGTCTTATGTACATGACATGGATACCAGGACATGTATTTCAGAAGGTAATGTGCCTTAAAGTAAAGATTTGATTTTTGTTATTTTCATGGTAGTCGACCACACTTACATCGTTCGCAACTTCATATACGTTTGTCTCATAAGTCTTGATGCATCGGGATAGTTTCTGCCTTGAGGTCAATGATTTTATAGCATTTGATACGAAATGATGTACGTAAATAAGAGGAACATGTTGAATGGTAGGTATGGATATTTTGTAGCCATTGATTGTTTTATTGACTAAATACGTTTTTGAACAGGATCTCTTATCATTCCCTTTCTTCATAATGTATGCAAGACAAAAAACAGTTGTTGATTATATTAGCAAAGTTCACTCGATCTTTCTAGTACAGGTTAAAAAGGTGTCTCCATATATGTCACCTTAACGTGGCAAGTGTCGATATTTATTATGTCGAATGGCGTCCTTAAATATTATTGTGACGAGGCTATTTTAGAGCCCTAACTAAAGGGTTGATTTGTGTATTTAACCTCATTCTAGTCTACGTGTACCACTGCAAACCATCGTAACGTGTAATTAAACCACACTAGAATATACATTTTTAATATATGTTTCAGAATAAAGGAACCGAGTGTCTGTCAGCGCCGAGGTAGGGACTCTTCAACCATGACTAATGTTCTGGACTACATGAAGATACTCCTCCGAATGCCACTGCACCAGCCAACACTTTCGGTGAAGAAAGTTGCGCACATGTTCAAGGAGCCGTACATCCTCAGCGGCTACCGACCAACGAACAAACCCTGGTCCTACTACTTCCTCAGTTTCTTCCAGCTTCATAACGAGTCCGTGAATGTCTGGACACACAGTCTTGCCTTTGTGTTGGTCCTTACGCAGCTATATCGACTCAGCTTATCCATTGACTTCGCAACCAACAAGGACGCGGCCACCATTATCGGCTTCAGCATTGGAGCTCTTATCCAAGTCTTCCTGAGCTCTGCCTGTCACCTCCTTCACGCCAAGTCTCCTTGGTGGCATTACATCTGGTTCCTGCTGGACTACGCAGGAGTGACCTTTAACAGTTTTGGGACTGGACTAGCCTGCTTCTACGTGTGCTCACATAAGGACGTTTATGGACTCGTTGAAAGTGTCTTCCTGCCGTTTAATATATTGATGAGTTGGATAGGATTCCTCTCCTGTTGCATCGCCAAACTTTGTTTCAAGGACCCTTACAGCAAGGCAAGAAAGCTGTTGATGGTATCTGCGCTAGGTTCCCAGGCTTTCCTTGTGGGTATACCAGTACTTGCCAGGTACGTCCCCTGTATCCTGGACGACGACTGTCGCCTTTCCTCCCTCACACATCTCCACTTCGTCTTCTTCTTCCTCATATGCGACGCTCTGACCTTCTCCACACACTTCCCAGAAGAGCTGAAACCAGGACATTTCGATATTTTCGGCCACGGACACCAAATATTCCACATCTGTACTTTGATCACTATGATGGTTGAAATGGAAGCCATAAAAACGGATATTGTTTCCGGTGCTACTGCGCATACACGTCCAGATCTGACGTCATTCCTGATGGCCTTTGCAGTGTTGATAGTCGTTGAATTGTTGACATTAGTCAGCATTAGAGGGCTCATAAACACAAAAGTGAAAGAAGTTCTAAGTGCCTCAAAATCTGATTGAATGGGAACCGTCAGTTTCATATCTTTACATAATGAATTTAAATATACAGTGAAAACTCGTTGATCCGAACAACTTTTGTTTGAGGGTTTTATTTATGAAAAAAGGGACATAACTAATAGCCAATGATTCGTTAATCTGGAAATTCCTTAATCCGGACGATTTAACTGGGATTCAACGGTACCGCCGGATTAACCAGATTTCACTGTATTGTGTAAACACATGCCAGAAGGAGTTGTTGGAGTGTCTAATTGACAGTGTTATGTTTATTCACGTCATTTTAGGTTATGCTTCACGCAATGGCAATGGTTCAGCTAAAATACCCCCCTGGAGGTAACGCTACCAGTGCAGCTGTAGATGCTTGTGCAGAGCCTGAATGGTAGAAATACTATTACATGTATATGGGTGCTTTATTACATTCCATGGGTCGGTGCTCTGCCTCTGTGTGTTTACAGTTATTCATGTTATAGTTTCATCTTATGAAATGTACGCCTCCGCGCTTGCCTTTTCGTAATCTGGTAGCTTCTGACAGTGATTTTGATGGAGACAAATGAAAACTAGGACATTTTCATGATTTTATCAACTTTTCATGGGACATTTTGGATCATTATCAGTCAATGTCCTGAAAACATTAACCGATCTGAAACGCTGATAAATGTGTATAAAAGTGTCGCAAATTCCATGACATGAAGTGATACAATGCACAACATTCTTAACGCCAACCTAATGAAACACAAGCATGTGGATATGTGAGATAAGGGGGCACTTCAGTAAATTTCCGGACAGGTTCCCTTCTCACTAGAAACAAGCAGTAAACCGTTTGTCTTATTTCCTAATAATCCCATGTTCCAAACCACGATGAGCACGGTGACACATGGTTTGTCATTCAGGAATAAACACCGACACTGGTCCCTCAACCCGAGCCTAGTGAAACAGTGGAGAGACTAGTCTACCAAAATTGTTTTTAAATAAACCACTGTCCCGAAATGAGTTGCATTGATATTACCAATGCTGTCTACCCCTGTCATGTCGCGTGTTGTATGTAACTGCCAGCCCTATTTATTCCGCTTTCGGGACAATATTTACATACGGGGGATCTATTCCGCCCTGAAATCCGTTCCATAAAGTGATCTGAGCCATATTGCTATCGTAAGTCTTATTCGTTAGTCGTAGTCGAGGTTCGTCAGTCGTAACATCCCTCGATAATCCAGGATGTTACGTCTCCAATGTGTCATGATACTGACCCTAGACCTTTTCTCTACAGTTAGCAATTGATAGGAGCGGTGCAGGTGGAGACGTTACTTCCGAAACGAAGGTATGGTGGCTTATTGACCCAGGGCATTTATCATAACGGAATGGAGGTATAATTCACTTGATAATCGGGGATGGTCGTGGGAGTAGATCGGGGAATGAGGCCTTGCTTCGAATCCGCATAGCGTCGGTCGAGAGAATCAAACAAGAAATATTTATGAGCAGGGTAGCAGAAAACGGTCGCTTCTGTCGCTAGTGTTAATTTTTTTTAATCCTTGAACTTCCGACTTTGTGATGTTTATTGTTCTTTGCTGAAGATTTGTTTATACACACAAATATATTTACATGTGATAGCATGACAAGGTATAACGAGAGCCATTTTCCCACCAGATATATATATATTTTTTTGTCAACAATTTTAAGTGTTTACAAGACTTCCAATTAAGGTGCCTTTTCGCAAACGTTTGAGGTCAAGCAATTTGTGTTGTTCAAATTATGTTGTTAGTAATATTAGCACACGCATAACATTTTTATAGTTACTGATCCAGTACTTTGAAATATATTCTGGTTAACGAAAATGGCCTGGTAAATCTGATATATATTTCTTTAACGTATTCATGCCATTCCACCTTGTCCAATGTGCTTCCGAAGTGATTTTGTATCTGTTAAACATATCTATCAACCAATACCTCTGATTAATTGTTTGATTTTCCAATTGTGTATTTTGTGGAGAAACATAAATATATATTTTATTTCTTTTATCACGTGTCGTGTCGTTGTTATGGCAAAAATCTGTCTCTATTGGCCGACGATGCTCCATCTGTCCCGTTTTAACTGTTATAGCCCCAGGATGTTCCCATATTGTACCCCAAGGGCGTGTTATTGTATGTGCTTCCAAAGACAAAGACTTCTGTAATGTATAGGAGTATTGTATTTCATAGGAGTTCAATTTCAATGTAGATATGAATCATATTGATTTTTTTATTTTCAAACCAGTGGTTAGCCGGGCGAGTGGAGAATGTGCCAACTAGGACACCCAAACGCCCCATAGTCAAACGAGTAAACGATTGGTATAAACCTCAAGTTATAATCCAAATAGACGACGGTGAATGTAATGATACATGCGCATTAGGGAAGAAACACGCCATCGGCTACGTTATATTGCTATATTATATGAACAACCGGACCTTGCCACGCTCTATTGGTTCTGCGTTTTGCTGTGTCACCGTTGGGGTTCAGAGTTACCTGGTTGATTTATCGCCAGAGGTCAAAATGTTATATACTCTCAATGATGAATACGTCTATGCCGTGAGAAGGTGTTTGTTACTGATGTCGGTATTGACCCAGCACGCTAGGACGACTACAGTTGTCGGTGGACATGGCTTCATGTCAAGGCTTATAACCTGGAGATAGTTGCCACAGCATTAACGACAGCGTCATACCAGGTATGTTGATGCACTAAATAACTCCGTGTATGAAACTTTTGACGCCTTGTCGATCGAGGCTGCGATGTGACCTTGCTTGTTCAAACCACGGTGAAATTAGTTCCTTGTTAATTACGGGGTAACGTGGAGTGCGGCCTGTCTCACTTCCTGTATCCTGTGATGGGTTTGTGTTGGTGTGTAAACGTGATATCGGCCTTGTAAGTAGTGAGCGCCCGGAAAATGCCAATGCAGAATTGATATTTAATCTCCATTTAATAGTATAGCCAGTGTGTGCGGAACCTTTCATAATATGTGAATATATGATACAACGCAGCATGTCACACCGACCTATTCATTTAAATCACACACAAATTCATTTCATACTATGTGAATATATGATACAACACAGCATATCACACCGACGTATTCATTTAAATCACACACAGATTCATTTCATACTATGTGAATATATGATACAACACAGCATGTCACACCGACCTATTCATTTAATCACACACAGATTCATTTCAAACTATGTGAATATATGATACAACACAGCATATCACACCGACGTATTCATTTAAATCACACACACATTCATTTTCATTACAAACATCGATAACATCAGTGCAACATCTGCAGCCTTACCCCTGCCGTGTACATGGATATTCGTACAGTGTCCATGCTTGTCATAACAGGCCACCAAAATGAGGATTGGGACCCGCTTTCCGTGACTCACTATGTCCTCATGGCCTGTTCATGTTTTGAACCAGTTGTTTTGCCTAGACTACATGCTGTTGACAGACTTGCTGTAGCTGGTATATTGAAAATCGATAGTATCGACAGCTAGGCTACTAAGAGTCACCACCATGTGCTTTCTCAAGATTGTTAAAGGTGTTTATCGTCGCCAATATTTTGGCTTCAATTTTCAATTGATGAACGTCGCTTTAGCTTTTGATAAATGCTTGTCGAATATGGTATACCATATAATGTGTTGATGTATGTGAGCAAGATAAATATTACCCACAGATATAAAGGAAAAACAGCACCTGAACACGTTTCTTTCGTAAATCCGCAATTAATACGAAAGAAGTATACTGTAGTGCTGTCTAGACGTACCTGCAATATTAATATTAGCAGATACACAACTGAAATACTATTTGAAGCAGCGGTAAACTCTACCCTCACTCGACCCGCGAAAATCCGGAGAATGAGTTTTCAGCAACCCATGCTTGCCATAACAGGCGACTAACGGGATCGGGTGGTCAGGCTCGCTGACTTGGTTGATGCATGTCATCGTATCCCAATTGCGTGGATCGATGCTCATGATGTCAATCACTGGATTGTCAGGTCCAGACTCGAATATTTACAGACCGCCGTCATATAGCTGGAATATTTCTGAGTGCAAAAACAAAAACAACACACAACCCTCACTCCTTTCCATGAAACGTATATTGCGTGTATTAAACTGGGTTATAATTATTTCTTTTTTCCAGATGATGATCATCAGTGGCGCCAGACTGTCGGAGGTGCCCTCCCGCATCCTGTCGATATTACAGCCCCATTTGAGCACAGTTGCAGCCAGAAACGTCGCACCTGTCTTCAGGGAACCCTTCATCCTCACCGGATATCGTCTGCAGGACCAGCCCTGGTGCTACTATTGGAAGACACTGTTCCACGTCCACAACGAGAGCGTCAACGTCTGGTCTCATGTGCTAGCCACCCTGCTCATCCTCAGACACGTCTGGTCTTTCTCACAGACGTTTGACTTCATTGAGGACAAGTACGGCTGGTCATTGATCGGGTTCAGTTTGGGATGTTTCCTCGGGACGTTATTGAGCGCCATTGCCCACCAGTTCCATTCTAAATCTGTGTGGTGGCATTATGTTCTGTTCATGATGGACTATGGTGGTGTCACTCTTTACACCTTCGGGACTGGAATAGGGTGTATGTACATCTGTTCTCAGAGATACATGTACGTAGTCATGGAACCGGTTTTCCTACCTCTCAACGTCTTCTTCAGCTGGTTTACATTCTACGTCTGCTGCCGTGCCAAACTCAAATTCGCATCCACAAATAACAGCACCCGTTATGTCTTCATGATCGCAGCTCTGCTACTCTACGCACTGGTTATTTCAATCCCGATATTTGCCCGCTACACAGAGTGCATGACGACGCCAGGATGTTCCCTCGCCTCGCTGAACCATCTGACCATGTGTTTCCTTCTGCTAGCGATATGTGCCATTCTGTTCTCCTGCCACGCCCCAGAGCGCCTGGCCCCGGGGCGGTTTGACCTTCTGGGTCACGGGCACTCCTTGTTCCACCTGCTGTGCCTGGTGACCATCAGTATGCAGATGAAGGGCGTCCGTGTGGACATCCAGGCAGGAGCTGCAGCTCACACCAACCCCAACCTCGGGAACATCCTCGCGGCGTACGCCGTCCTCATCTCGGCCCAGGTCCTTACCCTGGTCACTCTTAGGAGGGACATTGCAGCCAGGGCCAAGATGGAGACTCTACACTGGATTGATATACGACCAAAAAGCAAATGATACATTTGTTAACCCTTATTTATTTTATATTTATAATAAATACATAGATCAGAAGAAGAACGTATGTTATGTTTGTTTGACCGACGATCGAGGGAGCATGGTTTTACGCTGTTATACAAATATTCCCTCCATGGTTGGTTTGTTTGTTGTTGAACGCCACACTAAACAATATTCCAGCTATATGACGGCGGTCTGTAAATATTTGATTCTGGACCAGATAACCCAAAGATTAATATCATGGGCAACGATCCACGCAATTGGGACCGATGACATGCATCTACGAAGTAAGCCTGACCATCCGATCCCGTTAGTCGCCTCTTACGACAAGCAAAGTCGCCTTTTACGGCAAGCATGGGTTGCTGAAGACCTATTCTACCCCGGATCTTCAAGGGTCCCCTCCATGGTAGTTAGCTGTAACAACTGCATATGAGGGATCGATCAGAGTTCTTCGGTTTGATGAGCAATCCACTTTGCTATCCAACTGCCTAACCTGTTCTAGCTAGTAAAGATCATAGGTCTTGGGTTGGAGTTCAAAATTCGCCCACGTTATGAGCCTTGGCCATTTAGCACTGCATGAAGGAGTCCTTTTCCAAATTGGAAATAGTTCCTGTGTTAATTTGTGCAAATATATAAGGGTATACTTTTTGGTTGTTTTTGAAGCTTTCACTAAAAGACAAGAGGCTCATAATCTACTTATCCAGAAGTCCATGAGAAACCGGTCAACCTTACACTTTGCTTAAGACAGGGAGTAAAAGAGTTATGACATTTATGGTTGTGTCTTGTAACCTTGTGACAAGAAACCACTGCACTTGCAGTGGAAAAGTAACCTAAAGCAATGTCTAACGGCAATCATGGGAAAACATAGCTGTTGATAACTAGTGTTGTGCAAACACAGGGGCTAAGCAGCCACAGCACCAGAGTAAATCTCAATCCAGTCGTCATGATAGTGTATTGCAACTTTATAGGATCACCTGCTCATGTGTCACATCCATTATACTGGCTCTAGATTCCACACTATATATAAATAAACAAAATGTTCCAATCTAAGTAGGTGATACACAGTTTGCACTCACCGTTAATCTCAATGAAAGGCAGACCCAAACTAATGTGTCAGTTTCAGGAATATTTTGGTGCACATAAATATGAAACAAAACTAGCTAAGCTATTCAGAAAATGAATAATCTTGACAATGTGACAACTTCTTCAAAACCAGTCCACTATTTCTTTTACCTTTCCATGATACACAAAATTGATTCTGAAGTGAATATTTAAATAGAATCACACATCTGATTATCCAATGATTCTGAAGTCAAGTGGATATTTAAATAGAATGACATGTCTGATCCAGGATTAGTAACAGCTCTCTGGACAGCTTTTTGATGTATTTTTAACCCTGTTACCCCTAGCAAAGGTCGAGTGGTATGCATATGACTTTCAGTGTCATCTATGTCATCTTGATTATCTGAACACACAATGCCTTTTAGAAAGTGGTCAAATGTACAAATGTGATATTTGGGATAACACTTTCCAGGTACAGATTCTCATACTTTTTAGGATTGAGTCCCGTCCGGGAATCGAACCCACAGTGCCAGAGTGTGGCACCTAATCGCCAGCACACAAAGTCAGCGATTTAACCCACTCAGCCACCGTGGCTTCCACAAAATTGAAAATCTGACACTTGTCAGAGGGGTATACAAAATATACTACCAGTTGTCAGACTTTCATTTTTGTGGAAGCCTCGGTGGCTAAAATAAGTACGAGATTCTGTATATAAACCTTTGTTACATTGATTATCTGAGTATAAGAGACAAGAGGGCACCAACCTGGACACATACTCCTTTCAATAACACAGGGTCTAATGGATTCCTTTATTCAAAATCAGCTTTACAAAATCTCTCATTATCGTTCAACATGTTTCCAAATACAAGCACTCAGTCAAGCAAACTTTTACATACAAGATGTCACACACAAGTAGCAATCATTTCATAATAAAATAAAGTTTGGAACAACTAATTAAACATACATTCGATGAAAGCATTTTTATCAAGTTCCTTAGAGGTGCTTTGGAATAAGCCGGACAGCACTTCAATATAAACATAGCCTTGACACAGTGAAGGATAAAACAGTAGAAATTCTCATGACAAATATACATGTGGTATTGGTTCTAAAATCTGGGCAAATATCATTAACACTAGCCTCAAAACACTAAAACCTTGCTGCCGCTCAACTATACACAAAAATGTCAAGCAAGGCCCACACACACACCACAAATGAAAGATCACTTTGTGAGATGATATAATTGTCTTCTCATTGTTCAAGTTTATATTGATAAATACTAAAACTCTGTGTTGCTGCCAGCAGAGGTCCAGTAATAAACATGAGACAGACAAGATGGAGTCCGGGTTGAGCAGGGACAAACATGACGATCATCTGCAACAAGGCAACCTGCATCACACAACTACTCAAAAGCTGTTAGCACTTTCTTCACTTTCGTCAGTTTGGTGCAACTTGCTACAAACTATTATTTTCCAAAAATGTGGACATGATGATATTGACACCTTGTCATCAATATACTTTTTACTCTGCCTCAGCAGTTATTTTGGTCCCCTGTACAAGAAACTTCAAGGCATATCCACTCAATTCACTTTTGATAATCCTTATTACTGTTTGACTTTGATAATGTCAGGTAAACATAACCAGATCCTTCAAGGGATCTTAAAGTTCAATAAAATTCATTCGGTAAAAGTATTACGAGCCAATCTTGCTAAAATAATGAAACCTTCCATGTCAACTCATGTCTGTCTTCACCAACATGTTAGATAGCCCCTGCTGCCTCTGCTATAGTCTGTTCCTATTCCACAGGAACACACACACAATGTCTTGGTCTTCAACAGACAGATCTGAGTCCGCAAACTGTAGGATGAAATTCACTTCCATCCTTCAGTACTGCAACTTTCTAATCAGACCTCAGCTATAACATATCCGACTGGTCAGTTTCCATTCTTGTCCTTGGCAAGCAGAACTGTATGTTGGCCCCCTGCGTCTACTGAAATTACTTTCCTGCAACAATAATAAGAACATCTTAGTATTTGCAATTTATCCTTGAAATATTGGCCAAGGGGCACAAAAGCTGTTGTTTGACAATATCATAAAATGGCATTGTTTATTCATTAAAAATAGGATAACAACAACCTCTCACTGGCTTCATTTTAAAGGTGGATGTTTACAGAAATATTATAAATATCCTTGGAGACTGCAATGTCATGTAATGTACGACCAATACTGCAAAAATTATTTCCATGAACCAATCGCCCTGTGGTTGTCATGACAAAAATGGACATCCAAAGTCGAGTAGGCCACACATTCCAGGGATTTATCTAGATTTATCTGCACAGAGGCCCCAAGTCGCCAGTAAATGACTCAGGATTTACAAAGGCACTTTGTATGCAATCCTAGATTAAGCCCTGTAATGCATATGATGGAGAACAAAGTTACCTGTGCTCGAGCTGTTTGCCGCCCATCACTGTTGGCTCATAGATGTCGTCGTCCTCCGCCTGGCCCAGCTGCCGGCTCGTTCCCATTCCCCACGCATACACAGTACCTGCAACACCGGACACCATGGACATGAACATCTGCTTGTGCACAAGTGGAATTCAGGAAGGTCTAGTGAAGGACTACCACTAGGCAACTATTTGCAGTGAAATACATTAATCCTAGCCATGTCTCCAACTACTGTGTTTGGGATGTGATGTAACCTTGAATAAATAAGTGACCCTAATGTGATCCACATGATAAGTCGACAGTCGCCTAGTTGATTAAATTCCAATTAAGTTCTATATCCAATACGGATGAAAGCAGTATGGTTGCTCACAGCTATATTTTGAAACAATAAGTATCTCACCTTTCTCTGTGACAGCAAGAGACACACATCCCCCTGCGCCGATCTGTGTACACCTGTTCTCCTGTAGCGCTGCAACCAGCGTTGGCTCCGACAGCTCCTTCCCCTCTTCACCATGCCCCAACCTGCCGTAGTCCGCCCGGCCAAGCGTGAACACTCGCCCTGAAAACACATTCCCACATACAGCTCTGGCCATTGTATCAGATAAATCAATTCATTGATTGGTGCATCAAGAGTTTTCATGTGACCATACAATACATGGTTCGTTTTTTGCTGATATACATTACTTACTAATCTAATAATGACCACTGGCTTTTTGTCAGATATAGCAAAATGGGTTGTTATTAGCACTTCAAGTTCACAACTAAAAACAACACAGCCAGCTTTTCCTTGTCAACAATTATTGTCAAGTTTCCATCCTGATACGTATCCTATTTTCCTATTATCGTCCATCCATGCCTGTCCACATGCCCCTTGTATGTCACAAGCTAGAATGAAAGTAGGACCCCTCACCCTCTGTGTCCAGTGCGACCGTGTGATGCTGCCCAGCCATGATGCTCTTCCAGTCAGTTCCCATACAGAAGGAGGCCGCTCGCTCCGGCAAATAGCGATTCTCCATGTCATCAAAACCTGAAACAATGGCAGTCAAAAATATGTATTGTTGTACCTGAAGCGCCCTGTATCATGACACTGTCCATTGGGGACCTCCGAAATTCATAAACAGTTGTTGGTTAAAATAACAGACAGGAGTTCATATTTTGTAGTGTTTTGTATTAAGTTCAGAAAGCAACCAGGTCAAATTTTTTGTCGTACAATAACTGACATGATGATGACACAACCGTAACAGTTAAGGGGAGGTAAATCTTTCCCCAGAGGCGTGTATATATATTTGCAGTGGCATCAATCTTGACAAAATTCTGAACATCTTTTAGTGCAGTGTGAAACAGCGCATGCTACTTTTTGTCAATGTACACCTAACCTGTGTTTCAATATATTTCAATATATGATTTTCGAGTGAGTATGGTTTTACACCACTTTTAGCAATATTCCAGCAATATCATGGCGGGTAACACTAGAAATGGGCTTCACACATTGTACCAATCGAACCTGAACTTTCGGCAGGGGCTACGCTCTAACCCACAGGCTACACCTACGCCCACTTTTACATTTGGAAAACATTTTGTAACACAGTATGAGAATGTGCAATTGAGCAATCAACCTGATTCTACAGGACATGGGTGTAATATTGACTACAGTATCGAATCAAGTACACAAAGCTAACTTACCTAGCTGGTAGTAATTATTTAATCCCCAGGCATAGATGTCTCCCGTGTCCTTCTCCTGTGCAAATGTCATGTACTGGCCGGTCCAGATGTCCGAGAACTGCACCATCTTCCTGGACCTGTACTTTTTGCATCTGACCAGTCCCGGGTTGAGGATCAGATCTGCAGTGATAACATCACATACTTACTGAAGGAATACATTGCTACACTGGAAACATTTCCCAAGGCAAGAGAGTTTCCACCCTTGCCGAACTAGGCTGGGATTATGGACTGGACTAACGAGTCTATCTATGCAGAGTCCAATCAAAATGGCGAAATCCAGTACGTAAACTGTCATACAGAGTCGATTGCAGTATTTGCAAAGCATGTGCATCACCAAATCATTGTCAACAGATATTTTCCAAATCTTTTAATGTTTTTAATCACGGTGCTCATGTGATTTGATGTACTTCGCCATTAGAACCGTTTTATCACAAAAGAGATCTTTATGGTCGATCAGATTGTCTTGACTGGCACCACCATTTTGTTTGAAGCAAATGCATGTGATGCGATGTGGAATATGATGGCAGGGGGTCAATATGGGAGTATAGATCAACGTTGTTATCCATAAATTTTTCTACTTTGTCATCCTTCTAAGCAATGCCTATCAGACAATGGAAACATATCCATGCAAGCATGGATTATCATTAGGAATTATTATTCCTATCTAACACAAGATGAAGATGCTCACCCAACCCCTTCCGCCCCCCTCTTGCAGTGAAGCAGCCTGCAATACGGCCCAGCTGACCCTGTTCGGCACAGCCTGAAACAAAGTCGGAGGATGTAAAAGTGAAAATGGCACACGAATAGTCTGGTGTTTCAGTGTTTATGTAGTTTCAAAAATTTAGAATTTGAATCAGGTCCAATGTATTACTGGGGATGTGGACTGTCACTAACACTTACCTAATGTGTATACTTCACCCTGGGTCGTCAGACACACCAGGTGGTCACTGCCAGATGATATCTTTACAACTGTTTCATCTGGAAGTACCATGAGCGGTACTTTGGAAATACCTGCAGACGACAACCCCATGGATCCACTGGCATCCTGAATATAGAAAACAGATACACGTGACCAAATCTCCCAAGCTAACCAGCTATAGTTTTTCCACTTACAGTGAAAGGGGATTGATAAACAAGCAGCGGTAGTATACCGGTATGTGTTATATGTTATATGTTATATGTTATAGGGTATAGTATAAACTTGATATTAAGTCACATGTGGTACACAGTTGGGTTAACAGTTGTTGGTGAGATATATATATGAGAGTGCATGTTTAGACTAATCTTTGATGTACAGAGTCAACGATATTCAGCAGTATTTCTTTGTCTAGGCTGACCTTACCAAACAGGACGGCTCAAAGGTCATATTCATTAACATAATTTTTACTGGGCCGAATAAAATTTTACTTCTTTGAGTGGCATTTAGAAGTTGGAATGGTAACTAAGACAAAATTGTTATGGATGAGCAACTTCTTTATTACAATTGGAAGACGTTTCGGTGTAGATTCTAACACCGTTATCAAGCAAATCAAGCAAATTCATTGGCTTGATAACGGTGTTTAAGTCTACACCATACGTCGCCAAATTGTAATAAAGAAGTTGCTCATCCATAACAATTTTGTCTTAGTTAAAATTTGACTTGTGACCTATAAAGTGGCAGACTGTGGAGCTGTAAGACCGAAATACAAATACGCATCAGTCGGAGCCCACATTAAATCTCCAAAGTAAGTAAGTAAGTAAGCTGTAAGACCCTGTATAGCACCTTACACCACTGTGCCTGCTACCTGTCTTTACTCTGTACTGAGTAGTAACTCACTCACCCTGAAGTTCCCCCAGGCGTACACAATACCCTCACTGGAGAGTGCAGCGGTGTGGCTGTCCCCGGCGCTCACTTGCACAATTTTGGCTGCCAGGTCCACCTTGGCTGGGGTGTTCTCCGACCCCTCAACAGATGTGTCACGGCCGAGGGCGCCCTCGTCATTGCAACCAAAACTAAACAGCTGAAACAGAAATTAATGTTTACTAAAGCAAGATGAAAACTTTTTCTGTACTTCACTACAGAGTCAGCATGAATCACACCCCAGCAATTAAAAACCAAGTTATATTGCACTGATAACATATGATAACCATTGATACAGGAAAATTTCTACTAGTCCTTTGAATACATTGGCGGTTTGGTAAGAACCACAGGACGAGTGCCACTTCCTATCGCTAACATCACAATATAAACAAAACATAAATTTCAAAAAGCATTCAAGACCTTATATTACACAGTTCACTGATGTAAACAACAGACTTACTTCTCCTTTGTCGGTTAAACACATAGTGTGCATTCCTCCAGCACACACTTGCAGGATAGCGTTGGGGAGATTGACGAGGGCTGGGCGAGTCCTCTCTAGAATGTCCTCCCCCAGGCCTAGCTGCCCCACGTCCCCCTCTCCCAGGGTCAATACCAGGCCGGCTGTGTCACCGTGACTCGGGTGGGATACTGCAAGGTAAGAAGTCAGTTCCATCACCGTCCTGTAGTTTATGTGTGGTAGGCAGACACAGGGAACACAATCACGATAAAAACAATGATGTAACATGAAATTGTTTAATTACCTGATGTCTTTGAGCGTTTGGAGTCCAATTTGGAGGCCTTTCCTTCATCACGACTTCTTTTCTTGCCACGTCCAGCCATTATCTGGAGTCACAATAGTTATATTAGCAACTGTAGAGTGCAGTGCTTTTGGTACGTGCTATCTAAACAAGTAATGAATATTGTTACTGTAGGCGGTGGGGGAGAAAGGGGCAGGGATTTATCTTGGATTCCCAACTAAGTGTCCTTGGTTATGTTGTTCAAAGTTTGATTGTTAGTTTTCCACTAAATTAAAGTCAGTAGAACATTATTTGTCATTATCAGTGAAATTCAATTCATTGAATGACAAGGCCATAACACAATTATAACATCAAATTCAGAAATTTATCTTCTGCATACTCGGGGATGAATATCAGCCTCCAGAAATTTGACAAAAATCAAACATAATCTAATTTATCTGCTCAGTATCTATTCAAACAATAACATTTTCATTTCTTTGGAAAAAGACTAACCTTTGAATATCTATGCACTGTGCAACTTTCCAAAACAACAGAATTATCAGTTTCTGGGAGTTTCAACTTAAAATATTCAACTTCAAGCTGCTCTTCCAATGTTGTCTCCTTTCTCAAGCAAGAGGTACAGTGAATGTTGAAAAAATTCCCTGACCAACAATATAAAGGATGGCAGACAATTAACGAGCTTGTGCACTTCACACCTAGGGAGTCACTTGAGATTTTCTGACAATTTATTGTCCAAACATAGAGATTATACCATGTCAAGTTGGGTAATTAGTGCAGAGGTCTTTCCTCCACTAGACGGCTCAACCAGGCCTGCCAGTGGTTCGTTTGTACAACAGACCATAAACCATTTGTGCTCTACAGTCATGACATAAGCTCATTAACACAAGACGAGTACATCCTGCTTATGTGACAATTCGATTACATCACGTTTATGTGACAAGCCATGCTGTTTCTAGGAATTGACTAACGTTCTAGCAAGTCATATTTTTTATTTTCTGCATATTTTCAAGATCGCTAGATTACAACCGTGCAGTATTAACAGAGCCAAGCAAAACCAATGTTTCCATTTTTTAGTGACCTCAGGTCCTCTTTCAAAAGACTGATTATTTTGCTTTTAAAGTTGTCTTCAACTCTAGGTCTGTAAGGGGCACTAAAATTAAATGGCATTGGATCCTATCTCCTTTATTGGAAGGATAAAGCATTCACAATATTATTATTACTAATTACAATTTATAAAAAAAATTAAACTATACAATTTGTCACCTATAACATTTATCAGATGACTAAACATGCTCTATACATTGTAGAATGTGTTCTATTTGTTTTGACTGGTAGTACTGTCTTAAGTTACTTTTTTATGTAGTAGGGTCCCACTTGTAAATATGAAATAAGCAGTTTCATCACCACCATGATCAAAAGACCTTTACATGATAAAAATAGTAAATTATTAACATGAATTTATGGATAATCATTAATGGCAGAGTGAGAGCCCTGTTATTTTTCATTCAAAGCATCAACACTGTTATCTTTGATGTAGGCAGAAATCAATGTATCAGATCATCCCATAATTCAGTTTAGTCTAGATCTTAATACACTGTCGCGCTATACAGATAAAAGCGATTGTATGCCCTTTATCATTGATATTTCATGTACGAATCGTGTTTAAAAAGTTGTACAGACATCCACCAAATGTAGTGACAAGCGGCAAAAGCCTTTACTGTTCTTATAACAATGCAGACGTGGGCAAATGATTTTTTTATTTCTAGGAACTAAATCTAGTGCCACTTTACCACGCTTGACCCCCACCCCCTCCAACCCATGCCCAAATTTTTTCCATATTATTGTATATTCTTTTATCAGGAATACCCCCACTCCCACCCAGCCAAATAACATGCGGAAAGCACACGTTAAATCTCCGAGACTACCTACAAAGTGTCACTTTACAAGTTGTATGAGTATGTTGTCAGCCTCATTGTTTCATAGTAATAGTAAAACAAACAGGTAAAAATATAATCAATGACTGGATGACCAACTTTTAGTTTAAACAGTCTGCAAACTCACAGACTGCAGATGTTTATCGCCAATAACATTCACCAAAATAGAATAGTTTACGAATTGGAGAGATTGAGATCTGCTGCTGCTCTTCACACAAAAGCGCTCAAGCACTTTTTGTAGTAACAGGATTGATTTAGTGGGTATATTCTCCACTTTGTTTTTAACACACCAGTACCAACTGTCTTGTGACCAGCAGTGCATATCTACATCTAAAGACGCACAGATCGGAATATCAAGAATTTTTGATCAACATTTTAAAGTACTTACACACAATTCTAATCAAGAGTATTTACTTATGCAGACGTTCAATGATCTCAAATATTTTGAATGAAAACAGAGCTGCCGGTACTCGCTCCCTTGATGGTCGAGTCAGTATACGTCCCTTTCCCAGACCAGGCCTCAGAGCTACGTTTATCGAGAGGTATGCCTGTTATACTCGCGCGTGTAGTTCAACTATACTGTATTTAAGCTTCCGCACGACAATACGAAATGCGCGGCTATCTATAGACAAATCCCAGTCAAATTATAACAATTCCATACATTTTTGTCTGAATAAATATTATGAACGCAGTATTCTTTTATATATAATATGTATATATACTTACTCGATCAAGCTCACTCAATTTTAACACATTTAAAGCCATTATTTTTTTTATCTGTACTGTTAATGAGGTGACGATTGAGATCATCTGTGGTTTGATTCAGTCTCTTTAGACATCGTGGTAATGTATCACACTACCCTAAACTAATAAATACATGCATGTTTGTAAAATCCGTTTGTCTAGGTACTAGAACGGACATATACATACATATTCATTATACACATTCTCGCAATCTCACAAATATAGCTGACAAACGATAGCCGAACTTTCTTTTCAGAACACAGGCCACTTTAATTTACTCTGATCCCTTATTTTTTGCTATCAAGTCATCAGAGAGGTAAACAGATATGTTTAAACTGGTTAGCTCACTTTTTTTATACAATATTTTCTTTTGACAATCGGATTTAAATAATTTCTATCAAAGGGGAATCTCGACTTAACATAAGCTTTACCACTATATCCTATATCGTCGAATTCACAGATAAAAAATATGGAAAAATACATGCTTTGGCATATTCGAATCCAGTGCCATTTATGCTGACTCACTTTAATCTAGTCAACGTTCTTCAGAATGTATTCTTTGTAGCCACCCTACACATAGGTTATGAAATAGAGCTTTGCGTATTTTCGTTATTTTATAAACAACTACAGACAACTACAGACTCTTCATATTGCCTTGTATATAGCGTGTGCGTAAATCATCGCCGCTACCCCTACAACTAGTTTAATACAATTATTTTTTGTATACTCAAGCCACTGACTGGTCACTCTACACATTACTATTATATAAAAGAAACATCCTTGTGTATTTTCCCCATCAATTAAACGAGAGGCGTACGTTGGTCTGGGAAAGTGACAACTACAGAGTCTTCATATTGCCTTTTTTAGATATGTAAAAATCCTCATGGCTACCCCTACAATGGGTATAATACAGTGCTTTTTTATTCGGTCCACTGAAACGTCACTCTTACACATTATTATGAAAAAAGAGCATTGCGTATGTTTCATATTATTTTATACGGGGCGCGAACATTGGTCTGGGAAAGGAACAACTGCACACTGTTCCTATTGCCTTGCATTGGCTGTGGGAAAATCATCGCCACAATACCCCCATAACTAGTATTATACAATTATTATTTGTACGGGGGACGGGCATTGGTCTGGGAAACTGGGACAACTTGTTGCACGAATGGCCTTGTATATACATAACAGGATTCTCTACTCCAGTATAACAATATCTACTCTACTGTATAAACATTGCTTCCGACTTGTATATACTTGTCAACCAGGCTCTGTATATCACTTTGATAACGGCTTTAGAACCTACACCGAAAAGTCGCTCTTAATTGTAATAAATAAGTTGTTCATCCATAAATTCTTATCCTTACTTAACATGTGATTCTCAATAAACCCTCAGTAAAGTCAAGGTACCCCGTACAGCATCCTGAGCGAAGAACCGAACACAGTGATCAAATAATTATATTGGTCTGGGAAAGGGACAACTACAGACTGTTCATGTTGCCTGGTGTGGGAACAATAACCCCACTACCCCACAACTATTATAATACAAATATGTTTTTTATATTTACGCCACTGACATGTCACACTGCACATTATCATATAAAGGAAACATCCTTGTGTAGCGTGTGTGTAAATAATCGTCGCTACCTCCACAACTGTTGTAATGTATATATATATATATATTTATATGTATGACCCCTACTGGTCACTCTACACATTATTAGTTAAAAGAAACATCCCTGTGTGTTTTACATTATCCATTTAGCGGGAGACGAACAGTGGTCGCGGAAAGGGACAAGTACAGACTTTTCATATTGCTTGTGTATAGAGTGTATGTAAATAATCGTCGCTACCTCCACAACTGTTGTAATATATTTATTATTCGCACTATGTATGACCCCTACTGGCCACACTACACAGTATTAGATAAAAGAAACATCCCTGTGTGTTTTCCATTATCCATTTAGCGGGAGACGAACAGTGGTCGCGGAAAGGGACAGCTGCAGACTTTTCCTATCACTTGTACATAGCGTGTGTGTAAATAATCGTCGCTGCCTCCACAGCTGTTGTAATATATCTATTATCTTTACTATGTATGACTCCTACTGGCCACACTACACATTATTAGATAAAAGAAACATTTCAGTGTGTTTTCCATTATCCATTTAGCGGGAGACGAACAGTGGTCGCGGAAAGGGACAGCTACAGACTTTTCCTATTGCTTGTATATAGCGTGTGGGTAAATAATCGTCGCTGCCTCCACAATTGTTGTAATATATTTATTATTCGCACTATGTATGACCCCTACTGGCCACACTACACATTATTAGATAAAAGAAACATCCCTGTGTGTTTTCAATTATCCATTTAACGGGAGACGAACAGTGGTCGCGGAAAGGGACAGCTACAGACTTTTCATATTGCTTGTGTATAGAGTGTGTGTGTAAATAATCGTCGCTGCCTCCACAGCTGTTGTAATATATCTATTATCTTTACTATGTATGATTCCTACTGGCCACACTTCCCATTATTAGATAAAAGAAACATCCCTGTTTGTTTTCCATTATCCATTTAGCGGGAGACGAACAGTGGTCGCGGAAAGGGACAAGTACAGACTTTTCATATTGCTTGTGTAAAGAGTGTATGTAAATAATCGTCGCTACCTCCACAACTGTTGTAATATATTTATTATTCGCACTATGTATGACCCCTACTGGCCACACTACACAGTATTAGATAAAAGAAACATCCCTGTGTGTTTTCCATTATCCATTTAGCGGGAGACGAACAGTGGTCGCGGAAAGGGACAGCTGCAGACTTTTCCTATCATGCACTTGTACATAGCGTGTGTGTAAATAATCGTCGCTGCCTCCACAACTGTTGTAATATATCTATTATCTTTACTTTTCATCACTCCTACTGGCCACTCTACACATTATTAGATAAAAGAAACATTTCAGTGTGTTTTCCATTATCCATTTAGCGGGAGACGAACAGTGGTCGCGGAAAGGGACAGCTACAGACTATTCCTATTGCTTGTATATAGCGTGTGGGTAAATAATCGTCGCTGCCTCCACAACAGTTGTAATATATTTATTATCTTTACTATGTATGACTCCTACTGGCCACACTTCCCATTATTAGATAAAAGAAACATCCCTGTGTGTTTTCAATTATCCATTTAACGGGAGACGAACAGTGGTCGCGGAAAGGGACAGCTACAGACTTTTCATATTGCTTGTTTATAGAGTGTGTGTGTAAATAATCGTCGCTGCCTCCACAGCTGTTGTAATATATCTATTATCTTTACTATGTATGATTCCTACTGGCCACACTTCCCATTATTAGATAAAAGAAACATCCCTGTGTGTTTTCCAATATCAATTAAACAGGAGACGAACAGTGGTCGCGGAAAGGGACAGCTACAGACTTTTCATATTGCTTGTGTATAGAGTGTGTGTGTAAATAATCGTCGCTGCCTCAACAACTGTTGTAATATATCTATTATTTTTACTATGTGTGACTCCTACTGGCCACACTACACATTATGAGATAAAAAAACCCATCCCTGTGTGTTTTCCAATATCAATTAAACAGGAGACGAACACTGGTCGCGGAAAGGGACAAGTACAGACTTTTCATATTGCTTGTGTGTAGAGTGTATGTAAATAATCGTCGCTACCTGCACAACTGTTGTAATATATTTATTATTTTTACTATGTATGACTCCTACTGGCCACACTACACAGTATTAGATAAAAGAAACATCCCTGTGTGTTTTCCATTATCCATTTAGCGGGAGACGAACAGTGGTCGCGGAAAGGGACAGCTGCAGACTTTTCCTATCACTTGTACATAGCGTGTGTGTAAATAATCGTCGCTGCCTCCACAACTGTTGTAATATATCTATTATCTTTACTTTCCATCACTCCTACTGGCCACACTACACATTATTAGATAAAAGAAACATTTCAGTGTGTTTTCCATTATCCATTTAGCGGGAGACGAACAGTGGTCGCGGAAAGGGACAGCTACAGACTTTTCCTATTGCTTGTATATAGCGTGTGGGTAAATAATCGTCGGTACCTCCACAACTGTTGCAATATATTTATTATTCGCACTATGTATGACCCCTACTGGCCACACTACACATTATTAGATAAAAGAAACATCCCTGTGTGTTTTCCATTATCCATTTAACGGGAGACGAACAGTGGTCGCGGAAAGGGACAGCTACAGACTTTTCATATTGCTTGTTTATAGAGTGTGTGTGTAAATAATCGTCGCTGCCTCCACAGCTGTTGTAATATATCTATTATCTTTACTATGTATGATTCCTACTGGCCACACTTCCCATTATTAGATAAAAGAAACATCCCTGTGTGTTTTCCATTATCCATTTAGCGGGAGACGAATAGTGGTCGCGGAAAGGGACAGCTACAGACTTTTCATATTGCTTGTGTATAGAGTGTGTGTGTAAATAATCGTCGCTGCCTCAACAACTGTTGTAATATATCTATTATTTTTACTATGTATGACTCCTACTGGCCACACTACACATTATGAGATAAAAAAACCCATCCCTGTGTGTTTTCCAATATCAATTAAACAGGAGACGAACACTGGTCGCGGAAAGGGACAAGTACAGACTTTTCATATTGCTTGTGTATAGAGTGTATGTAAATAATCGTCGCTACCTGCACAACTGTTGTAATATATTTATTATTCG